GCCTCCCAGAGTGCTGGGATTACAGGCGTGAGCCACCACACCCAGACTGGATTTTTTTCTTTCTTTTTTTTTATGGAGACAGGGTCTCACTCTTCAGCCCCAGGCTGGAGTGCAATGGCATGATCTCAGATCACTACAACCTCTGCCTCCTGGGTTCAAGTGATTCTCCTGCCCCAACCTCCCGGGTAGCTGGGATTATAAGCGCCCACTACCATGCCCGGCTAATATTTGTATTTTAGTAGAGACGGGGTTTCACTATGTTGGCCAGACTGGTCTCAAACTCCTGATCTCAAGTGATCCACCTGCCTTGGCCTTTCAAAGTGCTGAGATTACAGGCATGCGCCACTGTGCCTGGCCTGATTGTTTTAATCTGACAAAACATATTTGCCTATTTTGTACATTGCTGAGACCAATAAGTTGGAAATGTCACATGAAATGACAACTCTGGATGCCAGCTCTCCGCTGTGGAGCCACAGCAGGCATAACTAATCAATCACTGAACTCTCACGAGGCCTCAGAATCTTGCTTAACCCACCTCCCCAGGTACCCATTATTCACTGTGCAGATCAGCCTGCAAATGGAAACCCCTTTGCCATCCCTCGCCTAAGCTCTGGAAGCTGGGCCCTCACGTGTTCTTTCCTGGCTCCTTCCTTCCAGACTTTGTGAAGACAGAGCGTGATGAGGCCAGTGGGCCAAAGTCCCTGAAGAGCCTCACCAGCCACGACCCCATGAAGCAGTGGGAACCCACCAACAGGTAAAGCGGGCGTGGGGTGGGTGTTCGGGGGGGGGGGTAGATGTCAGCGACTCATGACAACCTAGCATGGTTTGGCCGAGTGTGATGGCTCACGCCTATAATGCTGGCACTTTGGGAAACCAAGATGAATCACTTGAAGTCAGGAATTTGAGACCAGCCTGGCCAATATGGTGTAACCCTGTCTCTACTAAAAATACAAAAATTAGCTGGGCGTGGCGGCGCTCACCTGTAATCCCAGCTACTCAGGAGCTAAGACAGGATCACTTGAACCCAGGAAGTGGAGGTTGCAGTGAGCCAAGATTTCGCCACTGTACTCCAGCCTGGGTAACAGAGCGAGACTCCGTCTAAAAAAAAAAAAAAGAATTAGCTGGTTGTAGTAGTCTAGCTACTTGGGAGGCCGAGGTGGAAGGATTGCTTCAGCCCAGAAGGCTGAGGCTGCAGTGAGCTGTGATTGCGTGACTGCACTCCAGCCTGGGTGACAAAGTAAGACCTTGTCTCAAAAAACAAAACAAAACACACTGGCATGACTCTGCAGACCCAGGGCCTGTGAGAGGTGAGCTGGAACACAGAGAAACAAGGACCCAGAACAAGAAGCGCTAGCCCACAAGAGGTGCTCTCCTGCCTCCCCTCTGCGAGTCTCCTGACCGCTGGGGAGGTTGGTGTGACTGACAAAGCCTGGGAAACTCTAGCGTGATGGGAAGTTCAGTTTGGCTCAGCTAACATTTGTTGAACCCCTATGATGTATCCAGTTCTAGAGAAATCAAGGCAAATTCGGTGCAGTCCCTTACTTAGAACATGTGGCCTAGTGCATGAAGTGACTGCAGGGAGGGTGGAGAGATTCCAAGTCTACAAATGGTGGCTGTGTCTCCCGTGGGACCGAGGACACCAGCAATCATGGGATCTGTGGCCACCAAACCCCACCCTGTCACTAGCAAGAAGAATCAGTGGGGGAAAATGCACACCGGTTGGTCTTGGCAGAGACTGAACTGACAGCAGTACAGATGATAAAGTCTGTATTAGCAGAGGACAGACGTCCTGGGGAGCAGGGCTGCCCTCACTCGCCGATGTGGTCTTGAGTTCCAGAATCAAGTTCTGGTCTCTGCTGGCTCACCAGCCAAGGAGACGGCCATGGTAGCGGCAGACACAGCCTGTTCCTCTCCTCCCTTCCTTCCCCCACCACTCCTACCCACCAACCCTTGCCTTCACCCCAGCCACCCCCACTGCATGCGGGAACGCTCATCTCTACACACTCCCGGGTCCACTCCCAGCTTCCGAGGCTCACAGCCGTGGGCGCACACGCATGCCTTTCACTCTCCCTCCCATGACGGTCCTATCAGCAAATGCGTCCTGGCTCTGAAGTGTCTACTTGTTTCCAGAACCAGGATCAGTGTAGGAAAACAAATTCTTTTCCACTTTAACTAGCATGAGAATGAGTCTTTCTTTCTTTTTTTTTCTTTTTTTGAGATGGAATCTCGCTCTGTCGCCCAGGCTGGAGTGCTGTGGCATGATCTCGGCTCACTGCAACCTCCCCCTCCTGGGTTCAAGCAATTCCTGCCTCAGCCTCCTGAGTAGCTGGGACTACAGCCAGGATGCCACCGTGCCCGCTAATTTTTGTATTTTTAGTAGAGACAGGGTTTCGCCATGTTGGTCAGGCTGGTCTGGAACTCCTGACCTCGTGATCCACCCGCCTCAGCCTCCCAAAGTGCTGGGACTACAGACATGAGCCACTGTGCCCAGCCATGAGCATTTATCTCTTAAGCAGGCATTGGTGGAGGGAGCAAGGTACCGCTGGGGACCAGCTGGCGGTGCACATGGGAGCTGTGGAGTGTCCCTGCTAGCCTATATACTCAAACTCAGTTCTCAAGAGGCCGGTGCCTGACACAGTGGCCGCATGCTGTGTCTATTGGGGCCACCTCGCCCGGGTCTGGGCCAGCCCCTACATAGCTTTAAGCTGACTACCCCCCATTCCAGGCTCCAGCCTTGACATCTGTCACCTCACACTCATTTTTCTAAATATGCACTTGGCTGTCTCCGTGCTGATGCTGCACACAAAGACGTGAGGCTGACATGTTCCAGAAGAACCCCTGCCAGACTGCCCTGAAAATTCCCTCCTTCCTGCCACCCAGGCCACTCCCACCATCTCTCTGCGTTGCCAGCCTTGCCAGCTTTTCACTCTATCCTCTGCACCTGCTCACCAGCCTTCAGACCATCCAGGAACAGGCCAAGGCCCTCTCACATGGAAGCCTTTGCATGCACTCTTACCCCTGCCCAGAACACCCTCCCCTTCTTTCTCTCTCATCTGCTTGTCTTCTTATCTCAGTTAAAAGACCATCTCCTCAGACAGGGCCTCCTGGGGTCACCCAATGCCCAGTTGGTCCCAACACTTCACTAGTCTCCATCTTTGCCCCTTGTTACTCTGAGACTTCAGCACTACAATACTGCGTCTCTGTGCCACGGAGCTTGTCCCTCCCATCCAAAGCGAGTTCCAACAGAGACCACGGCTGCCTCACTCACAGCCATATTCCCTGCTCCTGGCCTGGGGCCGAGTGCTTACAAGGCTCTCAGTAACCACAGTGTCACACGGATGATGAATGAATGAATGAATCACTGCCCAAGAGGTGAAGGAGTTGAGGACAGCCCAAGAGAGCCCCAGGATTATCAGAGGACACTTTCCGTGGGCTGGTGCTGACCCCAAGAAGGGAAGGGGCCCTGAGATGTGACTCCGTGTCTTCCCTGCAGGGCCCCTCCGTGCAGTGGCTCCAGTATCACCGAAATCATCAATCCCAACTACATGGGAGTGGGGCCTTTCGGGCCACCAGTGCCACTGCACGTGAAGCAGACCTTGTCCCCTGACCAGCAGCCCACAGCCTGGAGCTACGACCAGCCACCCAAGGACTCCCCCCTGGGGTCCTGCAGGGGAGAAGGTCCTCCCACACCTCCCTGCCAGCCACCCATCTCACCCAAGAAGTTTTCGTCCTCAACAGCAAACCGGGGTCTCTGCCCCAGAACACAGGAGTCAAGGTGAGCATCCTCTTCATTAAGACGGTTCCCTCCCCTACTTATGAAAGCGCCCTGGGCTTTCACCCTGGAATGGAAGCCTCATGAGGGCCATGATTTGTGTTCACTTTGCTAATGACTTATCCCTGGGACCTGGAACACAGCAGGCCCCTAAATTTGTACGTGGAGTCTTCCACATCCTGATCTATTGGGGCAACTCGATTTCTTTTTAAACGGTAAAAATTTGTAAAGATATTGCCAAGAAAAGGAATCTTGTATAAAAACTATAAACATACCAAAAAACATGTTTCGACCAGGCGTGGTGGCTCACACCTGTAATCCCAGCACGTTGGGAGGCTGAGGCAGGTGGATCACTTGAGGTTAAGAGTTTGAGACCAGCCTGGCCAACATGGTAAAACCCTATCTCTACTAAAAATACAAAAATTAGCCAGGCGCAGTGGCTCACGCCTATAATCCTAGCTACTTGGGAGTCTGAGGCAGGAGAATCCCTGAACCCAGGAGACAGAGGGTGCAGTGAGCCAAGACTGTACCACTGCACTCCAGCCTGGGTGACAGAGCAAGACTCAGTCTTGGGGAAAAAAAAAAATTCGAGAGCTAGTGAACCTCAGGCATCTTCTACTCCCTAGAGGGCTCCGTGGAACAGGGGTGGGAATTTCCATGGAGACCCTGCTCGCACTACGTGATGCCCCTCTTTTTTCTCGACCACGAGGTTCCCTGTCCTATAAGCAGCTTCCTAGTCTCTCCTGTGGGGGACACTTAGTTAGAAACTGGAACTAGGAATGTAAACGTCAGGCAGAGCAGCCGACCTGTAGAGAAAGGAGGCCTGGCCCTGAAACTCTGGGGAAGCCCCAGATGGTAGAAAATACTGATCAGAGTCTAGAACTGGTTCTGGCAGAAGAATGGGAGCCAGATAGGAGACTGGGCCGGGCAGCCAAGGAACGAGGCCGGCACTTCCCAAAGGCACAGCTGCTCTCGGATGATGCTGGCACAGAGCAGAGCCAACCACGGGCACGTTGTGGATACACAAGTGGGGAGCTCTACATGTTTCTAGTAGCTGCAGGATGCCAGACAGACATGAAAGTGCAGCCCCAATTACCAACGATTTGAGATGTGTAGAGTGGCATGAGCATTGTCCTCCCTCCAGGCTCTTTGCCGGCAAATCATAACCTCAGGGGTTCACCCTCAGCCTGTCTTCCCCAACACTGGGTTTTTCTTCATCTTTTCTCCATGAGAACTTGGATGCTGTCCGCCACATGGGGGACAGAGCCAGCAGAGGGTGTGTTCTCCATCACACTGCCCTCCAGCTCCCACCTTCCCAGGTGTGGCCTGGTGGGGCCTTCCTCTGGATGGAGGAGCTGTTGACACTCTCATTTCTCAAGATGTGCAAGATATGCTCTAAAAAATGGACAGGCTGGGCACAGTGGCTCACGCCTGTAATCCCAGCACTTAGGCCACAGTGGGCAAATCACTTGAGGTCAAGAGTTCGAGACCAGCCTGGCCAACATGGTGAAACCCATCTCTACTAAAAATACAAATATTAGCCAGGTGTGGTGGCGCACGCCTATAATCCCAGCTACTTGGGAGGCTGAGACATGAGAATGACTTGAATCCAGGAGGTGGAGTTTGCAGTGAGCTGAGGTCACACCCCTGCACTTTAGCCTGGGTGACAGAGCAAGACTCTGTCTCAAAAAAAAAAAAAAGGGATAGATGAGAGGAAGTCAGGAAGAGAGAGAAAAAAGGACAAGACAGGACAGCCCTGGAGCTCGGCTCAGCTGCCTCTCTCTACCGCTGTACAGCGTGTTGATAGGATGCTAGACTCTGGTCATTCCCTAAGAAACTTGTGAGGAGGAGAAACAACTTCAGTTTCCTGCCCCAGAAATATGAGGACAAAAGGCACTATTTGGTGGGTATGCAGGTGCCCGTGTGGCCACCTCTTTGGAGACCCCAGGAAATGGAGCTCTAAGCAACCAGAAAGAACAAGGAGTGTGATTATTGGTGTTAAGTGAATGCCTCTCAGTTCCCGAAGCAAATGGATCTTGGTGCTTAACAACGAGCACACAGCTTGGCGGAAGCATGTTCTCCACAGCCCCATGGTGACAACTGCAGACAGGCCAGCATCCATGGGCAAGGGGCCCCCAGGGTGCACTTCTGACTCACTGCGCGCCAAGGAGGCGCTTGGAGCCTGGATCCCTGCAGCCCCCACACCTGCTTCATCCCTTTCCGCTGCTCCAGGTCCCGGGCTCAGCCAAAGCTAAGGCTGTGGAAGGGGTGTTACAAGACCATCAGTGTCTCCCCACCATCACCCAGACCCACGTGCAGGGACTGACCTTCCCAGTTTGCCAAGTACGGTCCCAGTTTTAATTAATTAATTAATTAATTAATTAATTTTTTGAGACGAAGTTTTACTCTTATTGCCCAGGCTGGAGTGCAGTGGCACGATCTCGGCTCACTGCAACCTTTGGTTTCCAGGCTCAAGCAATGCTCCTGCCTCAGCCTCCCAAGTAGCTGGGATTACAGGCGTGCACCACCATGCCCAGCTAATTTTTCTATTTTTTAGTAGAGACGGGATTTCTCCGTGTTGGTCATACTGGTCCCAAACTCCTAACCTCAGGTAATCTGTCCACCTCGGCCTCCCAGAGCTCTGGGATTACGGGCGTGAGCCACCGCGCTCAGCCTCTGTCCCAGTTTTAGCACTGAAAGTCCCACATCCAGGAAACCCTTCAGTCCTGCACAAGCAAGGAGGACTACTGGTCACCCCAGACCGAAGCTGTGCGGTTAGGAAAGGGACTCTTTCAGCCCCTGGCCAGTGCTTAACTGCTTTAGAGAAGAGTCTTTGCTCTTCTGAATCTGAGAAGTAGAGTTATTTGCTGCAGGAATTTTAACTCTGTCCCCTGGATATCTGTTCCCTTATTCAACAACTGTGGCCTGCTATAGCAGTCAATTTCTTGCTACCTTTGGTCAGGGGAATAAGACTTACTTTTGAGTTTTTTGTGGTTTTCCCCAGTCTTCCCCGGCTGCCCCCACCAAGCCTTCCCCTCTAAGCGCGACAGAAGCCTCCTCCTAGAGGGAAAGCTTCTCTGGTCTCTACCATGCTGCTCTTTTCCCAGAGGAGTGAGCTTTGGAGTCACAAAAAGGCTTGCACCCAGGGCTCTCTTCCTGGTCCAGCCCCCAGTTCTCTGAAGTGAGCCCCTCCTCCATCTCAGCCCCTGAGAGAGGGTGGTCAGAGGTCAGGACTTCTTGCTCCTTCATCTGAAAACTTGTGGCCACTGCCAGCTGCACCCTCCTGTGCCCTCTTCCCTTGGCTAACTCACAGCAACGGCCTTTAAGGGCCCACACGCAGGTGCAAAGAGGCCTGCAGGTGGAGGGGCGCTTTCCAAAGTCCTTGTTCAAGGCCCCAGCAATTTCTATGTACGCACCTGCTCTAAGGTGTTTCCAAAAAGTAGTGGGCAACACTCCCAGGTGCACAGTCAGGCTCCCTTTGGCGTGTCCCTGAGCCTAGCCTCCCTGGAGCCCCATAGCATCTCACAGGCATCTGTGCAAAGACAACGTCCCACCTTTGTCCCCTGAGCCCACACCTGGTCCCCAAAGAGTCACTGTTGAGTGCCTTTGAGCAGCATCTCAGCACACAGCCCATCAGCGACAGGCGTGGCAGCCTCAGCAGCTCAGTGGGTTCCCAGGCATCCACAATAGCTTCCTTTTTTGTAGAAAGCAGAACCTAGAACACTCCCCTGGGAGATTCTGCTGCTGGTCAGGAAGTAAAATGTGTTTCCATTCCTCATTCTCCTAATTTGCTCAGCAGGAAATCACCTCCAGTCAGAGCAATGATGAATCAGAATACAAGCAAAGGCAGCGCTTGCCTACTTTGGGTCACACACAGACGCTTCCCCTGCCCGTGAGTGGAGCAGGCCTTTCTTCTAGCTACTGGCTTTGGTTTCCCCAGTACTCGCAAGTGTCCAAATTCCCTCTGACTTTCACCATGAGCACCACGTGTTCCTTCTGCTGTGAGTTAGGAGAGCCTTCCAGGCAGGGGACTTCATGTGTTAACCGGGATGTCGGCCCCCTGAGCTCAGATTCTGTCCTTGTTTGTGGCTGCGTTGCTGTGCCTGGGGAAGGGTCTCATGCACAAGTTTGGCAGATGGAGCCTCTTGAGCATTCACCCTCAAGTAGCACTTCCTGTGGAGGTGTGATCGCCTTCCCGAGCGGTCATGCAAGTGCCGGGTCAGAGCAGAATGGCTGGAGTCAGAGGAGAGGCTGTGGGGAGGGGATGGGAGGGGCTAGGAAAGGAGGCCTGTTGGCTGGAGACAGGGAGGGGCCGTGGAGAGCAGGTACATCTGATGAGGATGAGGGGTTGATATTGAGGTGCCAAATAAGTTCTCGCTTCATTTCTCCTACAAATCCGCCAGTGCCGTGCCCCTTGCTCATGGATGCTCTGATGTGAACGGTTTTTATGGTAGAAAAGGTCCTAGGCCAGAACTGAGGTTGTCTTTGAGGACAACGTATGATGAATACAGTACTGCTTCCTCTTTCTTTTTCCACTTGAGGTGAAATTCACATAACATAAAATTAACCATTTCAAAATGAACAGTTTGCTAGGCTGGGCACAGCGGCTTGTGCCTGTAATCCCAGCTCTTTGGGAGGCCAAAGTGAGAGGATTGCCTGAGGCCAAGAGTTCAGGACTAGCCTGGGCAATATAGTGAGACCTCCAACTCTATAAAATAAAACAAAACAAAACAAAAAATAGCCCAGCCTGGTGGTACTGCCTGTAGTCCCAGCTACTTGGGAGTCTAAGGGGAAGGATCACTTGAGCCCAGGAGTTTGAGACCAGCCTAGGCAACACAGTGAGACCTCCAACTCTATAAAATAAAACAAAACAAAACAAAAAATAGCCCAGCCTGGTGGTACTGCCTGTAGTCCCAGCTACTTGGGAGTCTAAGGGGAAGGATCACTTGAGCCCAGGAGGTTGAGGCAGCAGTGAGCCATGATCGCACCACTGCACTCTAGCCTGGGCGACAGAGCAAGACTCTGTCTCTAAGACGAAACAAGACAAAGCAATTTGGTGGCATTCAGTACATTTACAACGTTACACATCTCTATCTAGTTCAGAAACATTTTTATCACCCCAAAGAAAGAGCCATTAGGCAGCCACGCCCCCATGTTCTTCTCCCCTGAACATGTGTCTTTCCTGCTCTGTCCCCAGCTCTAGGCCCAGTGACCTGGGGAAGAATGCAGGGGATGGGCTGCCTCAGGAGGACCTGCTGCTGACAAAGCCAGAGATGTTTGAGAACCCCCTGTATGGCTCCGTGAGTGCCTTCCCTAAGCCTGCTCCCAGGAAGGACCAGGAATCCCCAAAAATGCTGCGGAAGGAGCCCCCGCCCTGCCCAGAACCCGGCCTCTTGTCGCCCAGCATTGTGCTCACCAAAGTCCAGGAGACTGAGCGCAGCGAGGGGCCAGCCAAGCAGGCGCCCGCGCCCCGGCTGCGCTCCTTCACCTGCTCGTCCTCCACTGAGGGCAGGGCGGCCAGCGGGGACAAGAGCCAAGGGAAGCCCAAGACCCCGGCCAACTCTCAGGCCCCGGTGCCAGCCAAGAGGCCCATCAAGCCTTCCAGGTCGGAAATGAACCAGCAGACACTGCCCACCCCGACTCCACGGCCGCCGCTGCCAGTCAAGAGCCCGGCAGTTCTGCACCTGCAGCACTCCAAGGGCCGTGACTACCGTGACAACACCGAGCTCCCGCACCACGGCAAGCACCGGCCAGAGGAGGGGCCACCGGGGCCGCTAGGCAGGACTGCCATGCAGGTGCGCTGCGCCACACGAGGGCTTGTGTGCATGTATGTGCGTGTGCATGCCTGAGTGCGTATGTGTGTGTGTATGCATGTGTGTGCATGTGTGCGTGCATGTGTGTGTGTATGCATGCGTGTGTGCGTGCATGTGTACACTTGCTTGTGATAGTCCTGGTAACTACTCCATGAGAAGGGAGAGTCAGGATTTGAACCCAGGCCTGCCTGTCCCACACATGCCTGGCCCTGCTTTGCCTCTGCAGCAGTTGTTGAAAGGAAGAAAGGCAGGGCTGTGGATAAACTCTTAGTCCAGTGTCAGGCCCAGAGGAAGAAGATTCCATAAAGAAGAGGAGCCTAAATCATTTATATCTCATTGTTGTTGTTATTATTATTATTTTGAGATGGAGTTTTGCTCTTTGTTGCCCAGGCTAGAGTGCAGTGGCGTAATCTCGGCTCTCTGCAACTTCCACCTCCCGGGTTCAAGGGAGTCTCCTGCCTCAGCCCCCCGAGTAGCTGAGATTACAGGCAGCCACCACCACGCCCGGCTAATTTTTGTATTTTTAGTAGAGATGAGGTTTTACCGTGTTGGCCAGGCTGGTCTCAAACTCCTGACCTCAGGTGATCCGCCTGCCTTGGCCTCCCAAAGTGCTAGGATTACAGGTGTGAGCCACCGCACCTGGCCTCATTGTTATTATTAATTTGCATTCATACTTGAAAGTTTCCCAATATTTTAGAGAATTCAGCACACTTTCCCCCTCCTTGGTGTAAAATAAAAAAATTTTTGAGCAAAACCAACAGCAGTTAAGAACAGACTCCAGAGCCAGGCTGTGTTGGGTTTGAATCCCAGCCCTCCCACTTCCTGGCTCTGTGCCATGAGCCTCAGTTTACTCATCTGTAAAAAGGGGCTGTTAATGGCACCTGCCTCACAGAGTTAGAAGGACAATCGCATCGTAGACTATTATGAATTATTACCATATGTTATCATCCATATAGAAATTATATATTTATATATTTACATTTCTGTTATTCATAACATATTTCATATATATACTATACATATTACATATGTGTATATATTATATGTGTATGTGCATATTAAGCATGTGTATATGTTTTATATATATATATATGACTTACCTAAGCATGGTGCCATGTAGTTCCAGCTACTGAGGAGGCCGAGGCACGAGGCTAGCTGGAGCCCAAGTTAAAGGCTGCAGTGAGCTATGATTGCACCACTGTGCTCCAGCCTAGGCAACAGAGTAAAAACAATTTTTTAACATAACTAGGTAAAGTACTTGGAACGTTGGGTGCTGGCCCTTCTCAGCTACATGTTAAAGGAAGCCTGGCCTAGCCCACAGCATGCAGGGCCATGGGCCACGTAGTTCAATGTGGCCTGGTGAGAACGAGCCCTGACAGCCCTCTGTTCTCCTCCCACAGTGAAGCCCTCGGTGAGCTGCCGGTGAGTCGGGAGCCCAGAGGAACAGCGTGAAGCCACTGGGAACCTCTCCCGGGACCTCCTGCTGGCTCCTCCTACCCAGCTTCCTACGCAAGGCTTTGTGTTTTTCAGGAAAGGGCCTAGCTTCTGTGTGGCCCATGGAGTTCACTGCCTGTGAGACTTGGCACCAAGTGCTGAGGCTGGAAGAGAAACGCGTGCCAGACAGGCAACAGACAGTCTGCTCTTGGTACTTGAGACTCTGGTGCCTTGTTCAGGGCGCCATCTGAAGAAAGGAACTGCAGCACCGATTTGAGGGTGGAGATATAAATAATAATAATATTAATAATAATAATGGCCACATGGATGGAACACTCGCTGTGTGCCAAGAGCCGTGCTAAGTGCTTTATGAACCTTCATCGTATCAGGATGACCTCGAGAGCTGAGGCTCTAGCCAGTGAAAACCACGACCCAAACCCACCAGTTCCAAACGGAGGAGTTTGGAGAAAGCATTAAGAAGGCCAGTGCCCTCCTGGAGCGAGACAAGGGCTTGGCCTTAGGGAGCTGAAGAGTCTGGGTAGCTTGTTTCAGGTACAAGAAGCCTGTTCTGTCCAGCTTCAGTGACGCGAGCTGCTTTAGCTAAAGCCTTGGGGGCCCTGCGTAGCTGGGTGGCAAGTAGGATTACCTGGCTTCTCAGTTCTTTAGTTGGAAGGAGCAGGAAATCAGCTCCTACCCTCAGCGGAGAGATCTGACCTCAGCCTGGGCCAGGGATGCCAGGGCCTGTGCCAGGTTCCTTGTGCCCTCCTCGAGGTGGGCAGCCACCACCAGCCACAGCGCAGCCGAGCCCCCAACACATATTCCATCATGCAGATGGAAGAGTCTTTGCTGTTGCTCCTGAAAGCCATGCTCTCCAGCCTGGCTGCCAGGGAGGGTGGGCCTCGTGGTTCCAGGCTCTTGAAATAGTGTAGCCTTTTCTTCTTAGCTCTGTGGCTTTCAGCTCTGCTTCCTTGGTTATTAGGAGAATAGATGGGTGATGTCTTTCCTTGTGTTGCTTTTCAACATCGCAGAATTAATGTAGGGAGCTAAACCCAGAGGCATGTGTGGACGCAGGGGAAGGGTATGCGCCCCACATTCCCACGGTGGAAGCGTGCGTGACCAATAAATTGTGCCTTTCTCGCTCAGCTGTGTGTGTGTTGTTTTTCTTGACATTCGGATCCATAGATGTCCTTCTAGACTGCAGGGTCACCAGAGGGCCCAACTGGGGCAGTTAAGGGTTCATGGTGGTGACGAATGGTGTTGCCCTGGCCAATGGGACACCACAGAGCCAGCCTGAAGCTAGCCCTGGACTGGGAACGGCGGAAACAGCACTCCTTCCCTCCACACATCTTCCTGGCACTCCAAGCAACCTGCAGCCACCCAGATGCCACGAGCATCCCCTTCAAACCTGCTCTCCTGCAGCCCACAAGTTTCTCCCAGCTTTTATAAGTTTTCACTGCTTAAGCTGCAGAGCCAAAAAAACACGTCAGCCATGCAATGTATAATACACATATATTATACACATTAAAGGCAATGGCTCACACCTGTAATCTCAGCACTTTGGGAGGCCAAGGCGGGTGGATCACAAGGGCAGGAGTTCAAGACCAACCTGGCCAACATGGTGAAACCCTGTCTCTACTAAAAATACAAAAATTAGCCAGGTGTGGTGGCACGCACCTGTAATCCCAGCTACTCGGGAGGCTGAGGCAGGAGAATCACTTGAACCTGGGAGGTGGATGTTGCAGTGAGCCGAGATTATGCCACTGCACTCCAGCCTGCGTGACAGAGCGAGACTCTCTCAAAATTAAAAAAAAAAAAAAGAAGAAGAAAAAAAAGCATGTCAACACTTCCCAGGTCAGGGAGCAGCCCCCAGCCCAGAGGCACAGTGCAGGCCACTTCCAGGGCACCTCTGCGCCACCTCGGGCTGCCTGGCCTCGGCTCATGCTCACAGACACCAGGCCTGGGTTCCAGGCACGGCTTGGAGCAGTGTCTTTGGCAGCCTCAGAGCAAACCATTCACTGCCGTGCCTCAGTGCTACGTGGAGCCCAGCAGGGGCAGGACTGAGTATCTGCTGGGACCACAGCTCCCTACCCCCACTCAGGTGTCCCTGCCCTGCGGGCTTACTTCCTGGTGTCCATATAGAACCTAACCTAAGTCCCAGGCCCCAGCCTCTGACTCAACACACCAAGGGCCAGGGCGGAGAGAGAGCGGGAGACACCCAAACATTCTTTGGCCTCCCAGCCCCCATTACCAGAGCTGAGGACCCGGGCATGGATGCTCGTGGTCTGGGGAACTCACTGGCTGCTGGGTGGGCTGACCTGCTACACAAGTGCCATCAGCTGCTCACCCACAGGGAGAATGGCAAGTCCAAGGCCCCATGCCCACTTGAGATGGATGTCTAGGCACTCCCCAGGATTTCTGTGGGTTCCCAGGAGACATGGGTAGGAGAGCCGCTGTATTGGGCATGCCTCATGCTCCCCCTCGCCTGCTCTGAGTTCTAGTTACTCAACCAACTGCAGTGCCCCCTCCACAGTCAAACCCAAGGCTGCTGTGGGGTCCTGGCTTTGATCGCACTTGGTCAGTCAGCAGAGGCCCACCTGGTGCTCAGAACAGGAAACACTGTGGAATGCAAGAACTTTCATCACTGTCTTTTCCATCTTTCAGCCCCACACCCACCCCTGGAGGTCTGGCCACCTTCTCCTTAGGCTCTGGGCTGCCAGGATCTTCGGGGTTCCACCTTAACCAGGGCTCTCTCCTGTCTCTCCTTTCCTGACAATTCCCGGCTTCCAAACACCCAATTTCCCCCTCTGGCAGCGTGAGGGGGAACCCAGACATCCCCACCTCCTTATCACCTACGAAATTCACCTCCAAGTAATTCGCCTACACCAGGCTCCCTAACCAAGAAGGCATGTCAGTTAGCCAGCTCTCCTCATCAAAGTGCTCCCTTCCTGGGATGAATTCCACCACTCTCTGAGACTGCAGATGCTGCCACAGTCACTGTTACTTTTAAGAGGCAATTTTTTCCTTCTCTGCATCACGCCATGAAGGCTGGTTGAGAGCAGCAGAGTTTGTGCCGACAGGAAGGTGTTACCCTCACAACGGACAGTCCGTAGCCACGCAGCTCTTCCCAGCGCCTCCAGCCCCTGCAGCCTGGAAGGCAGCACCTGCAGCCCATGCACCTGCAGGGACAGAGTCGGCCACCGGCTCCTCCTCCTTCCTGCATTTCCATTTTTTTCACACCATTTTCCCCACCCTGATAGGAAAGAAATTAGTGAGTCATTCAGAAAAGCTCTCTCCCACAGCTACCTTCCCTAATCCCAGCCTACCAGGTTGTCATCTTTGCATGTCCTTAAAATAGCTCCTTTCTCTTGGCAAACAAATTTCCATGGAGACCCAGCTATGGGAAGGCCCAGAAGCTCTCTGCAAGGCAGCAAACTCAGCTCCCAGCCTTCACTCCGACAGAGACCCTTTATAATTCAAATGTGTGGTCTCGCCCCCACAGACACTCCCACCCACGAAGGGCCCATTTTGGGAAATCTGCACTGCCCAGGGAACACACTGACAGGTTGAGTCTAGGTACGGACAATCTATTTTCTTCTCTTTTTTTTTTTTTTTTTTTTTTTGAGAAGGAGTCTCAACTCTGTTGCCTGGGCTGGAGTGCAGTGGTACCATCTCAGCTCATTGCAACCTCCGCCTCCCGGGTTCAAGTAATTCTCCTGCCTCAGCCTCCAGAGTAGCTGGGATTGCAGGCACCCACCACTACACCCAACTAATTCTTTCTATTTTTAGTAGAAATGGGGTTTCAACATTTGGCCAGGCTGGTCTCGAACTCCTGACCTCGTGATTTGCCTGCCTCAGCCTCCCAAAGTGCTGGAATTACAGGTGTGAGCTACCGCACCTGACCTGGACAATCTATTTTCTTGTTATTTTCTGATGGGGTGGCTGGCAAGTGCTGGCGAGTTCTCTCTCAAGTCACAGCAGACCAAATCACTGGGCTTACCAGTGACTAATCTGACACCAGGCATACCCAGCTCACGCTCTTCCTCCATGCACTTGACCACACACATTGATGGTATGCATTAGACCTTCGGGGTCAGTGCTTCTATTGAGGGAGGCCATGGGGTGGGGAGGTATCCTGGGCTGTGGGAACAGACAGAAGGGGGCTTAAATGTCTTTTATTTCCTAAAACTATGATCTTGCACAGGTTACTTAGCTTTTCTGAGCCTCAGTCTCCTCATCCATACAATGGAAGGAGGCTACCTTGTGCCTGGTGTGGCTGTCGAAGATTCACTAAGCTCATCTCTGCAAAGCCCCTGGCTGGGTCCCTGGCCTGCTGCAGGGGTTCATTGAGTGCCATCCCGATCCCTCGTCCTGGGAGACAAGGCAGTGAGGGAGGGCACCACACACAGCATTGGAAAGGAAACAAAGAGCTTCAGGGATGCAGGGATGTCCAAGACGGAGGTAAAGGCAAGAGTGTGAGTAAATAAACAAGGCAGGACATCCTGGGGGCAAGGCAAGGCTGTGAAAAGCCATGAAGAGCAGAGAGCTAGGCTAGGCAGAGGTGTGACTAACTGAGGCCGGGGGAACTAGATGAGGCCAGGTAGGCTCTCTGAGGCTAAGGAGGGGCTACTTGAGGTCAAGGAGGGGTGAGGAAGACTGGTTGAAGCCAGAGGTATGTGTGGATTTCTCTAGCTACACAGAGCAGAGCTGCTCAGATGACCTGAGCCAATGGGAGCAGACTCAGGGGACGCAGAGGAACACTTCATAGGGCAGTTCTGGGCAGTGCTTCTGGCCACTAGGGACAAGCAGGCAGATCCAGTCACCACAGAGCAGCTTTGTGGCCCACGCAGCTCTGGGCATGTCCCTGCGAGACTCGGCTCCTGCACTTGTCTCTCCCTCCTTTGATTTTTTCTTTTCTTTTTCTTTTTCTTTTTTTTTTTTTTTTTTGAGACAGTCTTGCTTTACTGCCAGGCTGGAGTGCAGTGGCTCAATCTCAGCTCAGTGCAACCTCTGCCTCCCAGGCTGAAGCAATTCTCCTGCCTCGGCCTCCTGAGTAGCTGGGACTATAGGCATGCACCACCACGCCCAGCTAATTTTTGTATTTTTAGTAGAGATGGGCTTTCACCGTGTTGGCCGATATGGTCTCGATCTCTTGACCACGCGATCTGCCCACTTCGGCCTCCCAAAGTGCTGGGACTATAGGTGTGAGCCACCGCGCCCGGCCCTTCTTTGGCTTTTTCTTCCTCCTTCCCTAACCGTGTCAATGACTTGCAGCGCTGCTTCATCCTGCAGGGAAGGGGGAGCCTTGGGGACTCCGGAGTAGACAATGACGTGCTTGCTCAGCGTTTAGGAAGATCAAGAACAGTATGAGGCAAGCAAGATTCAGGGGGTGCAAAAGGTAACTGACACTCTCCAGTGCTCGCCCCGAACCTGCACCACCTCATATTTAAACATCCCCCGCACCCATGCCTGACTTGCCTCCCCTTCACCCAAGCCCTGCAAAGCAGGCAGAAAAGTGCAAGTTAGATTCCAGAAGGAGCCAAATTCCTGTGGCTGAAAGGCAGCGACGCTCCGACCCGCAGCCCTGGCAGGGCCTTGGAAAGGGAAGGAAGGGCTGGGGGTGCGGACGGGAGAGGTCGGTCGTCCTCTACATCATGTGGAATTGTGTTTCAGTGCATGGCTATAAATTGAATTTCCAGGCCTTATTTAGATAGAGTACATCCCCAGAAATGGTTTGTCCTGCTTCTGTTATTTTTAAAAAGCACTCTGTTTAGGTAGTCGTTGAGAGCACAGACTCTGGAGCCAAACTGCTTAAACATGTCAAAAATGTTCTAGGCTGTGAGCATTGGTGCGGAAGAAGGCAACATCCCCAGCTTCCAGAAGAAGCCAATGCATGGGTCACCAGTTACATTGCCATGCAGTAAGTAAGAGGTATGCAACAAAAGCCCCAGGCGATGAATTTCCTTTCAGGTTAGCTGGACAATGCTTTATGATTTAGTGTTTAGGATTCAGAATGATAACTAGACTGGTGCTGAGGATCTCCAACTCTGGGGTCAGAACACTTGGGTTCAGCCCCCAGCCCTACGACCTACCACTGACTGGCAGGCCATGTGTCCATGGCTAAGTACTTCGCTTCAGTTTCTCC